CGCGGAACTTATCGAACACTTCATCCTTGATGCACAAGAAATATAACCATACATGTCTTGAAAAATCATTAGTAAAAGAAACATAATACCTTGATTTTCCATGTGATGCTACAGGTGTGGGACCAAACACGTCGCTGTGTATCAGGTCCAGAATCCCCTCAGCTCTTCCTCCTATGGAATCAAAAGATACCCAATTTTGCTTCCCTTGCAGGCAATGCTCGCAAAATCCAAACCCCATAGAGCAACTCGGAATTCCATCCACCAGCTTCCTTGATGTTAGAGTCTCCAGACCTTTTCCTCTAATATGCCCCAGCCTCCTATGCCATAACATAGCAGTGTCCTCTTCCGCCTGTTCTGAAACATAGCTTTTACCACTGAATACTGTGCTACCCAGCAGTTTCCACAATTTACCATGACGCTCTCCTCTTGCAATAACCAAAGCTCCTCAAGTCAGCTTGCAAGAATACTTGTCACTGCTAAAATTAATACCAGCATCTGTCATACTACCAACGAAGATCAGATTTCTGGTAAGCCCCGGAATATGCATCACACCCGGCAGATTCTTGACTGTCCCGTCACTCATCTTCAGCTTTACCTTCCCACGCCCCACAATTGCATGAGTCGTGTCATCTCTCATTCTAACTGTACCGCCAGAATACGATTCATAGGTGCAGAACCACTCCCTATGAGGTGTTATATGAAACGATGCTCTAGTGTCAATAATCCAGTCATTACAGTCACTATGACTGTCAAATGCCATGTACAGGTCCCCTGTACTTTCATCATCATCCTTCTTTGTACCCGAAGCAGAAGATTGTGAATCATCTCGCTTCTCAGGACCTACACTTTTACTTTTGCAATTCCTTCTCAGATGTTCAACCTGTTTGCACCTCTAGCACCTCATTTCAGATTTATCAGATTTATCACGGGACTTTGACCGTCCCCTCGATCTTCCTCTGTGACCAGACTTTGATCTGTCACCACTCCTCCCTCTAGCAACCAGAGCCTCATTGCTGGTACCTTCAGAACCTACCCTTCTCATCTCCTCAGATAATAAGGCAGCAACAACCGTCTCGAACGACAGTTTATTAACACCAGTACCAATTGACACAATGATGTGCTCCCAAGAGTTGGGCAGCGAACACAACAAGGTGCAAGATTTATCTTCCTCATCCTGATTGATGTCTATAGAAGAAAGTTGTGCACAAATAGTATTAAATTCATTTAAATGAGCAGAGAAAGCATCACCTTCGATCATCCGCAGATTATACAGCCTCCTTCGCAGGAACAGCTTGTTCACGAGTGACTTGCTCTAATAGAGACCTCCCAGCTTCATCCAGAGATCCTTCGCAGTCTTCTCAGAAGTTATGTTCACCAGAACGTTATCCGCTAGGCATAACCAGATCAGGCTTTGCGCCTTTCGATCGTCTCTGGTTCACGCCTTCAACTCCTTCGACTCGCCTTCACCTGACGTTTCATCACCAACAGGTTTTGTCGGTACCGATGGCTTATCATCTTCGATCACGTGCCACACGTCCCTGTCAACGAGCAGAGCCTCCATCTTCAGCTTCCATAACTCGAACCCTTTTCCTCCGAACTTTTCAACCTCGACCCGTGATTGGCCAGTCGACATCCTCTCCAGATCAATTTCGCAGTTTTATCTATGCCAAGAAAAAAAACCCAAATCGTGAAACCCCAATCTGTCACAGGAACCCTGGTCGCAGAACCAAAGCTCTTGATACCAAATGTTGGAAATCGACCACACACAAATCGAAAACAGAAAAGAAAGAGAGAGAGAGAGAATAGACACAGCGATTTACCCTGGTTCACCCAATTTAGGCTACGTCCAGCTCGTCTGTACTATATTCACCTCACCGTCACTCGTTACAAGTCACTCGGTTTATAAGGAAAATATAAATAGGATTAGAAAATCCTAACAACAGCTATTCATGGGCCCAAGCCCAAACTGCTAAGAAAATTACAATAAATCAAAGGCTATAACAGTACCTAGCCTCTACGGGCCTGGGGGCGCTGCCCCCCGGTCCCCCGCCCGCTCACCTGGGAGCGGAATCCCAGTTGCCTTTCTACTAACCCCGATAACTAGGGCCCCATCAGCATGCGAAGTATGAGCCATACCCAACAGGCAAGAGTATAGGGTGTTGTAGCTCTGCAGATGTATTTCGGCAAGAGTAATAACAAGAATAATTAATATGTAAAATATGTCTCTTCAATAATAACGAGAGATATTTATAAATAGTGAAGATTCCGCAATCATAAAAGAGAGTATAATCATTTCTACCCTTGTAGGCCCCACTATATGAGAAAAGTATTCTCACCTAGTACATGAGGTACATGTACAAGATAATGTGATCAAGCATGGTGAGATAATATTTGTATCACTTTAGAAATGGAAGGGTGTAATTAACTCCTCTAATCAGTCTTAGGGGCTAACCCAACGAATTGTCCTGTGTAGCCGGTCCATGAATAATGCTTTCACAGACTTGGATTCAAATGCACCATGGCCGACTTAAAACAATACACCAACTTGAATTAGAATCAAGTTCTTCCCTAAGACTTGTTTTGTAGTCCTCAAATATTAATTAAAAATACCAAGAGCTAGAGCTATTCTCACCTTTTTGGTTTTTTTTTTTATTGGGATAGGATATTGTAACAACCAATTAGTGTTACTACCAATCAATTTCACCGTTAGATCGATTATGTTGATCCAACGGTTATATTTATTTATGATTCCCCATATTTAACGTGAAAGCATTAAATATGAAAAATCATAACCATACAAAGGTGAAAATAAATATAAAGTATTAAATATGGAAAATCATAATCATACAAAGTTGAAAATAAATATAGCCAATGGATCAACATAATCGATCTAACAGTGAAATTGATTGGTAATAACATTGGTAGTAACACTAATTGATTGTTACAATATTTTCCCCCTTTTTGATTTACTATTTTTTTTATTTGTTATAATACACTGCTTTGTGGGATCTTTACGGTAGGTTGAAGTACACCGAAGAAGATAGAGTATGTTAGAATTGCTTCTAAAGATTTACAAGTATTTAGACTCCAAATGGAAAGAATTTTTTATGCTCGGATCATCATTGATTGGATGGTCTCTTTGTGAAAATGGAGAGGGTGAAAAGAGAAAGAGAAAAAATAACCGAGATAAAAAGGAAAAGGAAAAATTGGTCTTGTGAGAGAGAATACCGAGTTTTGAGTGTTTGGTTTGGACCTTAAAAAATATCCCCAAATGAGAGAGTACGGGTAGTAAAATCACCTATTCCCAAATCTCTATCCCAGTCTCATCTTAAGGAGCACTTTATTGATGCATCAGATGTACCATACATCTTTCCAAAAATAATAAAAATTTGAAATTTGATAAAAAAATACTTAAAAAGATATGGATTAAAAGTAAAGAAAATTTTCTCTTTTTAGTAAAAATATGTACCCAAGTTGTTAATTGTAATTTGGTTTGATTTCCAAAATTGTGTCTTTGACAAGCGATATGTGGCTTCACTATGAACTCTTAACGAGATTGATTTTGTATGGGACATGTCTTTTCCCTTGTCTAAACTTCTATCTTAAAATATATATATATATATATATATATATATATATATATATATTGTTCGCCTCATATCATCTTGAGCTTTCTGTTTTCACAGTCGTATGGCTTATCGCTGAACTACTTTACTTTGCAAGGTGGCAAATGTGGGATCTAGTTTCCTTCAATCACTTAACCCTTTATGGAATCAACAGGTTGCGGAGCTAGATTCCTGTTTACTTCTGACCAGTTATCCTATATTTGCTTTTCTCTTGTTTATTAGTGTTATGTAGTAATAAATCTTAAATTTTTCCGTTGAGGTTATTTGCAAAAGCTTTTGTTGCAGCATGAAGCTTTTGATGCTGATGCCCAAACAAGATTTCTTCAGTATGAAGGCCTAGCTTGGTCTGCCATCCCTTTTTCCATTCACGAGCTTGTGATACTGAGATATGTGTGGTATCTCATCAACTAGTTCGAAAGAAATGCGTCTTTATGGAAATCAAATTTTTTTATCTCCATAGATAATAGTATAATACCATCCGGTGATATCAACTTTTAAGGATAGTTAAATTTTACCAAACTACAACATAGAGACATGTTGGAAGATAAAATTCCTTCATCTAATACTAATTTCTCAGTCCTTCCTAATTGCTTTCCCATTATTTTCCACAAAATGCCGCATCGAACACCTATTCCTTTCAATCTATGCCAAAAGAAAAAAACATGTAATACGAATTCTGCTGACCGAATAATTTGCCTTCTAATTCAAATCTAGTTTTTCTGCAAGGTTTATCGTGCTTGTTTCTTTCAATTTACATAATTTAGAAAAAAGAAAAAAGAAATAAAAAAATTCCCAATTCATTTAGGGATTAAAATTTAGGAAAAATGTATGTCATTTTAAAGGATGTAAAGTTATATCATTTTAAAAGAGATAGAAAGAAATAGATAAAGGAGGAGAGAGAGTTGACAAAAAAAATAAAGATGTGAATCTCACCTCTTTGTGAGAGTAAAAGAATATAAATTGTGTCATTTAAAAAGATATACATTTTTCCCTAAAATTTAAAACCCAATGTTGAGCAAATAAAAAGAACATTGCGCAATAAAATAAACTTCGAAATTCCACATTTGCCGCAAAAGAAAGTAGGTTACTAGGTTCAAAGTTCAAACTATCAAAGGGGTAGAAAAGAAATCCACACAGGAGATCAGCACTAACCTGAACAGCTGAGGGAAGATAATTGGTTACCAACTTTGATATTGAAGATGGTAGATAGTGATATACGTAGACTAAATTTTTGGAGATATACACAACAGCATTGAAGTCAACATGCAAGAAAAAATCCTTAGATTCCCCTTTGTCCTTCCCAACTATTGAATTTGACCAACTAAAAACAAGTTTGACGAGTTTATATATACTTTTCATAGGCTATCTCAGGTCAAATGATAAACACCTATGAGCTCTGAATAATGAAATTGAACATAATTAGCAAGAACAAAACTGAATCACTACTAATATTTTCATGGAACTTTTACTAAAAATTGATAAGACATTGCAAAGTAAATCACAAACGAGATATAAAATCCCAGTCATTGCTTCTAAAGACGGGGAAAACAAGAACAAAAAAATATCCACATCTTGCTGGAATAATACAGATTCTGACATTGCTATCATCTAGACAACTTCTCCGACAGGGTGTCCAGCAAGTTCTTGAGCAGTTGAGCGTCACAAAAAACGGAATGTTTACTGCCCCTATTATACATCAAAGCAGGCTTGGCCAACCACCAAAAATGTTTGTAGTGTACATTCATGGATTTAAGTGCTTACAGCAATCTCATCAACGAGGGTGCACAACTACCTGACATTAGTGCAGAATGTGATGAAACTGTGATAGCAGTATGATATGCAACAGCAACATCATAAGAAGTAATCAGGTGTTCTCCGGGTGACGTCAGGTTCTCCTCTCCTGGGAGCAGGTTCAAACTGCAAAAAACATTTCAAATTTATGCAGAGTTGGTCAAAGGAACATGACTAAATATTTTACCATGCAGTACAGGAGCAAATTATATTGGACGACATAGGAGGAGACCTGGATAAATGTGTGGCCCTTGGAATCATCAACCTCCAAAATGGAAGCCATGTTCCCACATCGATAACAGTAGTTAGGAGCACTAAAAATGGTAACCACCTTCTGTTCCTGTTTCAACAAAACAATGGACATATCGAAAAACTTGACTTCCATAATTCCAAAGCAAACAAGACAAAAAGATCATTCTTTGAGAAGGTCAATTACATGAGCCCAGTTAAATCCATCCATAACCAGCTGATGAGCTCTAGCAATCAACTTAAGCTTGTTTGTGTGATTGAATTGTTCAGATATATCCTGGAAGAAATAATGTAAACTTGAATTGCAAAAAATACAATAGCCAATCTCTCAATGCTTCAAAAATAACATATTCAACAACGTAGAGTTCAGAAACTAAAATTTTGGTCACCTGGCCAAAAGTATACCCTGCACCCCGAGGAGAAATTCCCCAGCCACATCTGTCATCTGGGTCAGACCACAACAGATCACACATGGGCCCTTCATGAGGAACCTCTTGAACACGATCAAAGTTCCTTATGTTATCAAGGGTCTCAATTGAAGGTGATAGTCCACCATGCAAACAAAATATTTCGGATTCAACCTGGAAGGGACTATATTAAATTAGATTCTTTCTTGTTCATCATTACGGCCAGAATAAGACCATCATTTCATTATAATGAAAATGAACTGCCATTAAACTAGTCCCAAACTATAAACAAACTGAACAAACTTGAGCATATTATATTCACTACTCCTCAAGTTCAGTAGAATGACAAGGTCATCACGTCTTGCTTTGAAAATGATGGTACCAAGATTTGTATAAGGTAATAAAAATGGAGCACAGCTCCTACAAGACTCAATCACAGAAACCCAGCAACTGACACAATTCTGTAACAACAGCAATACAAAAAAATAGGAAATAAGCAAACCAGAGATGCACAATTACAATGGAAAAGATATTCAAGACATCAAACAATAACCCCAAAGAAGACTAATGACCAGCTAAAGAGAATCCCCCATCAAGTGCTTTCAGTTCCACATAAGCGTCATACTTGCCCATCTCCCTTTTCCCCCTTTCATTCCCCCTATATCCCCCTTCACTTCCTCCCCTCCGAATCTTCTATTCCACTTCCACCGAGGTCCCCTTCCCCATTCGTTGCCAGCCACGTGTCACTCATTGTAACTAACTCCCCTCCCTTTCCCTCCTTTGCCTCTTAGTTGTTATTTCCCCTTGTTTCCTTATTGCTGTTATTCCCAATTTCTCCTCTCATTTGGGCTGTCCTCCTGCGTTGGTAAACCTCTTTAAAAGGCTTAATAGGCCCATCAGAAAACTACAAAGACCTCCTCTAAATGGCAGAAATGTCAAAGCACTAATTCATATCTGGAAACATAATACAACTAGGGGTGATAAATAAACCAGGGGCCTTTGACTCGGCTCGTGAAGTCTTGAGCTTATATGCCTAAAATTGGTTGTTGGAACCAGGCTTGAACTTGTATAAAAGCTCGTTTAATAAAAAAGCCTTAGACTTCAATTCAAAAGCTCGACCTTAAAGCTCGACCTAGTATATTAATTTTTTTTTTTATTTTATATTTTATATTTTTTATACTACTTGTAATAGCCTTCTCTCTCTCCTCAATCCACTTCACCCTATTTTATTGGTTAAACAGACTTTTTGAATGATTTTATTTTATATTATGTTGTTTGGATATACATTGAATTTGTTAATGTTTATGGAATTACTAGTACTGTTGATTGTACATTCTGTTAGGATAAATTTTTATTGTCTTATTCTTTTTAAACAGGCTAAATCAAGCTTTCATTTTTTGTAAATAAGTCAAGCCACAGGCCGATAATTATATTCATAACAGGTAACAGGCTTGATCAGACTGACACATTTAAATATAGGCTTAGCCTTTTAAGACCAAAGCTCGGCTCGGCTCGGCCCGTTAACACCTCTAAATACAACCCTATCTAGTGCTTACAAAGACTACATTAATTTGATAAAATCTACCATATTATATCTTAGTCCATTATCTCACTCTGTTGCCCCTCCAATATTTTACTTTCTGAATAGAACACAGAAATTCAGGTTAGTTTAAAATTTATAAATGGGTACTGCTCAAATAAAACACAACACAACACAATATATACACACAGTTGTTCAAACCCCAGAACAAAGGGGGATAGTGTTAATATTTTGCTTAATCTAGGAAAAAGAATGTGATTTACTCAACAAATTCCACCTTCAATTTACAAAATAACTGACATGTAGCTTATTCTCAATATATATTGCCCTTTCCACCACTAAAAATCAGAAATGAAATGCATAAATGGAAAAAAAAATGTGCTAACCAATGCAGTCAATGGAAAGAAATCAAAAAGGTCTGTAAAGATCTTCCAAACATTAGCATTACCATACCTGCAAAATAAACAATCGTAAGAAAGAATTATCATGAGCTTTAAAAAAGAAATAAGGAATTAGATAAATCAGTAAGATAACAGCTATGATCAACTGATTTGTAGTCATAATATTGAGCCTATCAAAAAATTAAATCCAGATCAAGCCAAGCTGCATCTCTATCTAGATCCAATTACATATGATATTTGTTAGAATTTATTAAGTTTATTAGTCTTAGTGTAGCCAATCCCACTAACACTAAGACTAATAACGCTAATATATTCTAAAAATACTAATAAAACCACATCTCTTAACTTGTTATAATTCATATAGACGAGTGTGTGTATCACCTTTAAAGTTCAAACTCAATCTCAAATCTAAATATTAATGCCTTCACTGAACATAAGGAATATTATTGAGTTAAATTTATTTTTTAAACAGGCCACTGCATGTAGTCAGCATCATAACATTATCAAATCAATTAATACATCACCAGATCCACTTCAGATACAGAGGAAGTAACATAAAAAATCATATATGTTCAAAACACAAAAGTTCATAATGGTAGTAGCCATTTCGGTATTTGATAATATAACACAAACACATAATGAGAGCAAGGCCCATGAAGGAAAGATTGGCAGAGATCACATCACATCACATGCATCCTCAATCCTCTCCTCAAAAAGCAGCATTTCATGTCTTTGTTATTTTGAGCAGCATTCCCTTTTAAGGGATTATTTATTTAAATTTATATTATTTTCCCAAATGAAAACTGGATAGACATCCTGATGTTCTCGGTGATTCAGTCTGCAATATTGGATCCAACAAAATATCCTTGCTTATTATCTTCTCTCCCAGTTTCATTTTGGACGGTACTTCTGCATTTTGAATAGAACTACATATTCTTTACCCATGTTAGCAAGAACAAGACATTGTAAATCAGTAATATAGTGTATACAATTTCAACAGCGTAACTACTGATACAACGAGATGTTGCCACATCCATCAATATCAAAATCTAAGATCTCAAAACCGAGAATCTGGAATCAAATGGGTTATATAAAGCGTCAAATCAATGGAAAATTCAGATGATCACCACAAGGTTCTAGTTCACTTCATTTAAGGATACTAACTAAACAAAATCTGATGTTAAAATTATAAAAAAGAATATTGTAGGTGTTGAGATATATAGTTCCACATTGGTTGTATGAGCAACTAATGTCCTTTATAAGGCCTTGGGCACTCCCACCCTTTGAGCTTAAGCTTTTGAGGTGGTGTATCCCAAGGTTCTTTACATGATAAAGAAAAATGGTTTCCCAAACAGTCTATATAGTATGTATCTTAACACAAGTTTGTGACACCACCATAATGTTCATAACAAATTTGTACAATATTAACAGAACTTTAATTGAAAAAATTGCAAAATTATAAGAATACAAATCGTCTTTAGACGAAAGTATAGCCTGTTTTTTCCATTAGGACCTTAAATGACGGGAGTGAAAACTCACTTTCTTAAGCATTCATCGTAAAATCCATATACTTGAGTGATCTGTGCACACAAAAAATGATAAAGGAAAAATTAGCTCAAAAACAAATATACGAGTCTTAAAATCAAAGCCTGAACAGTTAGCAACAACAATTTGTTATACAACTATAAAGCCTCCAAGACAAGCTAATTTTTGTGGCATTAAGTAATGCAAGTACTAAAAACTCAGGAAAATAAGTGCCATAAGGGACCTCAGAAAACATAAGAATAATAACTTTGAACGCAAGATAAATGCCAACATATACCTGACGGCTTTCATGGTTTCCCCTGAGAATAGTAATTCGCTGAGAATACCGTACTTTCAGTGCCACAAGAAGCTGGATAGAATAACTAATTAGTACTTCTGACATATGATACAACAATTTCAAGCCAAGGGAAATCAAATAAATATACATCTAATTTCACCATCATTCAGTTATCTAAGAGACAATCACAGCATAAAAAATATCCAGATTCCAGAAAAAAAATTGCAATCCTCTAGATAAGCATGTTGATACTAACAGAAAGATATTTAATATACATCATTATTATTTAATACACTTAGATGTTTCAACCTTCAATGATATCAGAAGTCAAAATGCCTATCCTGAAACAACTATCAGATATACAACCCCAAATTCACAATATATTAATTTCAGGTTTGAGATTTCATCAGAATATGAAATTCTCAAATCCTGACAATGCCCAAAAATCTCAGCAATAACCTCTGCCTGGTATTCACATGTTGAGAATTGGATGCTGACAAACTTATCTTGAAAATATAATTATAATATAATGCAACTTGTTTCTAATTTTTATCAACTGCAAACTTAATGAATCTAGCCATGTTGAAAAGCTGCAAACAAATGCTCTGCACATTCTAATTATATTTTCTTATTACGTTATAAAAAGAACGAAGTTATTTGCAATTTGGGGACAGTCCCATTTTCTATTTCACCCTAATAGCAAGACAAAACTTAAATGATGCTTACCCTCAGCCCACACTTTCATAGACTTCACTCACCCTAAAGCATGAATAACATAAAACGCAAGCTCCCAAAGAGGGTTTTTTTGGCTTTGGGGGGATGAGAATAGCAAAATTACAAAGTAACAACTATTAATAAGTGCAGAAAAGTAAGTTTATCTTTGCTGTACTTACTGTTACAGTTTCAACTGAATAATAACCCCGGTCCACATAATCACCCATAAACAAGTAATTAGTATCTGGACACTGTAAACAAAACACATATTTTTAGATTTCATATATAAATAATCACAAAAATAAATAAGATATCCACAAAAATCCTATTACAAAAAAATCATTTTGCAGAAGTAAAATGTTAGTAGACTTCAACATGATAATATTAGGGTTGCAGTGAATTCAATGAGTAGTTCCCCGATTATACCATTTACTCCACAATACCTTTGATGCACTTCAATCTTCAAAAGCTTTTTCTTTAGCAGGTCTCAATTAGTTAGTTAAGACATTCCCCAGCTGAAACAGAAGAATTGAATACAAAAAGAAAGTGATAATCAGAACTCATACCTTCCCTCCAATTCGAAATAGTTCAGCAAGATCATGAAACTGCCCATGAATATCGCCACAAATTGTCACAGGGCTTTTCACAGGCTGTGGTACAGGAGAGAGACAGAGAGAGAAAAATTAATGCTTTCTCTCTCAAAGAGAACAAACTTGCAATTAAAAGTCACACTGAGATACTGAGATGTATTGGCATTGGAAAACCGCTACATAGCACAGGCATTTTAAAAGGATTGGAAGATTTACTTCTTTATGCCATAAAAAAGGCATTAAAAGCAATAACATCAGACAAATGAACCCAAATAAGGGGGGAAACCAAAATAAATAAATAAGGGCCTATTTGATTGTGTTCTTCTTTTTGTTCTTAAAACTATTTTATAGAATAGTTAATGAAATAGGTGTTTTCTGTGTTTTGAAAGTTAAAAGTCAAAACACAAAACAAAAACAACTTAGACATGTTCTCTAAATTTGATTCTAAAAACTAAAAAACAAATAATTCTTAGAACTATTTTTACAAAACAGGCCTTATCAAACAGGTTTTTTTTTTGTTTTTTTGTTTTTTTTAAAATCAAAAAACTATTTTTGGAAACACAATTCAAACAGGCCCTAAATAAATCAAAATCCAACAACTCATTTCTGACTTCACAAAGGATTAATTTTCATGCAAAGCAAGCAAGCAGCAGATCAAAACATAGTGAAGCATGTGAGATCAATATCCACAGAAATAGGCAAAGGGCTCAATGAAATGTAAAAAAGAAATAAGAAGGCAGGAAGAAAGGGTTGCACCTGGACATTGCTTTCGTCCATTAAAATCTCCTTAGCCTTGTCACATAAAACTCTAACCTATAGGCAGAACAGAAAACAAGAGCATTAGTTTATTTTTATATTTACTTCTCCGAAAGATAATAATAGCAAAAGGAGGAAGAGATATTGGAGATAGCTTCACAAAAAAGGGTCATGACTGCTTTGTTAAAACAACCCAGAAAATAGAAAGAAAGAAAGAAAGACAATCAGCATAATATGATATTTCTAACTTGAATAAGTACCAAAGGGTACATAGGTCACAAAGGAAGCAATAAAATCTATTCATTTTCCCATCTCAAACTTTGAGAGATAAGATCTTTTGCAAAGATAAATAAATAAAGCAACACTGTTGATACAAAAGTGATTAAGGATGAACCAACATCAACATCACCCACAGTTATAAATAGCTAGTGTCAGCTGCTAGCAGGCGACCCCAAAAATGCTAGTGGTAAAGCAGGTAGCGGTATAACTGCTACAATGAAGTTCACATAAGTGCTATACTAAATTATACTACACATATATAAATGCTCAAAAATAAAATACTACCCAAAATTAAAGACATTCATTCATAATTACAGCCTTGCAGGAAATACTGGAGCTGAACAGAGAGCAAGAAATTTCGGGAAGATACTTGGTAATATGAAAAATATGTTTATTTGACAGCTTGTGATAAATTACAGGTGGAGGATGAGTCCAGCATTACCTTCCCATAAGGTATTGGTCGGTGAAAAGAGAGGAACTCATCTTACAGGCTAATTGTGTGTTGTTAACAACATTGATGAGTAGGTCGCTGGAAAACAGAGGACATAATTCACTGATGTTGATGGGTTGTCAAAAACAGAGTCGAAGAAAGGAGTGAGTGGACACACCGGAAAATGAGTGGACTTGCTAGAAAATCACCGAAAATGAGTCACAAGGGTGGAGAGTGGCAAAAGGGTCATCATTGAGAAGGTGGCATACCAGATAGCGTTTGCAATTTAAAGAATGGGTAAAAGTTAGATTATTTTCATTCCTTCACCGTAGTGCCATGATTGCGTCGCTATGACCATGATTTGCTACCTGCAATTTTGGCTCCAACGGCCACTATTGCAAACCATTGCATCGCATGACAGAAGTATTGGCTAGGTGTCGCTACCCACACCTGTAGCGGTATAGTTTGCGAAAGCAGTTTATTACCGAAACTTACTTGAGAAAAAGTAGTAAAACAATACTTAATGAAATGAAAAATAAATTATTGTACAATTTGTCATAGGAAGAAGTGGAGAAAAGTCATTAGGATTGTCGGTAGATTATTTCCCAAATACCCCTTTTTAGTCCTTTGTACCTAGATTTATTTATTTACTTTCTCTGTTATTTATTTCTCCTCCCGAATACAGTTGATTCATGCCACCCTTTTCTTGAATCCTCTTCCCACTCCTCCACTACCCATTAATTAATACCATCCACAATAAATGAGATAACTAATCAAAATTTAATAAAATTCATTTTAAAATTCAAAATCAGGATAACAAAACCAGAAAACCCCATTTAATGGAATTTAATTAAATTTCATAACATTACTTTTAATTTTTTTCTCTTTTGTCTTTTATTTTACCATAACATCAATCTTAAATCTCTCATAATCACATGCATGAAGGAACAACCCTCCTGTCTCATCTCTCTCTGTCTTGTTTCTCTATCTAAAAGCACTGCAAGAATGCAGAAATGGCTGCTGAGGCGAGTTCTCTGATATGGGTTTTATGAGGTGGCCACACCGCCAGTGAGGGGTGGGCTTGCCAGTTCAGACAAGAAAAAGAGCAGAGTCAAGAGAAAGAGAAAGAGAGAGCTAAATAGGGTTCGAAATAGTCGTAATGGCAACATATCAGAAAAAATGGGTCAAAAGTCAATACTTCCCCCCTTAAATTATACATGAGACACTGCACACACAAGGACAAAGAGGGGATCCACCCTTCCTTCACTGTAGTGTAGTGGAGCAATTTGCCATGATTGCAGTCGCTACTCCAAATCGTAGCATTGCAGAGTGGAAATTACAAATGGGGACCACAACGCCGTTATAGCAGCGCAATAGCACACAATCGATAACTTATAGAGCCAGGACAAATTTAAGTGGATAACTCTTACTAAGTTTACCACCAATCTGCAATATATACTAGAAATTACCTCATCTTTCCAAATAATTTAGGGAACTAGCAACAGTTCATGAAAATTCTGATTCAGTGTAAGATAGCTTGAATGACAGACAGGCGGCCCAGTGCCCAAGGCTCCCACCATTTTGGGCTCCAAAGAGGATTGGATATATGCAACTTACCTCTAAGAGCAGAGATTATGTTTCCATGACCACCTGGTCACATGATCACAAGGGAGAAACCTTAAGGTTGATCCAAAGCCTTGCCCCCTCTCACAGTTTGAAATACACATAATCCTCCATTTTTTAAACTAGGTTGTCAGTAGCGGCCCGTAGCGCTGCTAAACCGCTACCGTAGCGGGTAGCGGCAGTCGGCCGCTACAAACCGCGACGCTACGCGACATTGGCCGTAGCGGAATGTAGCGGCGGAACGTAGCAGCAATACCTCTACCCGCTACACCCGCTACCCCGCTACACCACTCCCATGTTGGAATTTGATGAAGAATCCGAAGATGATGATGATTTTCTTTATTAGTTCACTTCTTGTACTTGACTATTTGACAATTTTATTGTTCAGTTGTGTTTAGTTTTGGATCCTTCCTTTATGTTCCTTGTATTTGACATTGATTGTGGAATTATGTGTTTGATTTTGTGTGACTTCTTATGTTTGAGCATTAATACTAAAAGCGGTATTGCCTTGTTTCTTGACTGTTAGTATAATATATGTAGAATTAATACTTCACGGTAGCGGTAATACCGCTATCTGCTACACCGCTATACCATTTTCGGGGTCGGCGGCTACTGGCCGCTAACTGCTATTGACAACTATGTTTTTAAATGTCAAACCTGCCAAATGCGTAACATCTCTCTTTGTAACCTTTAGCAGAAGGTCGTAACAATCTCCTCCTGACCTAGTGAAGCCATTTGTAACATACCACATACCATAATTCACCGTCTATAAAGAAAAACTCCATCAAACTTCATTAGAATTGAGGAGTCGATGTAACCCTATACGGCCATATGACTATAACCAATTCCAAACAAGCTTACAGAAAGCTACTTTTATAGCTGAAAATGAAAATCTGTTATTTTGTTGGGAACAATGTCCATTTCTATATAAAAAATAAATAAAAATTCATCGTCATAATTGATCCACATCAAGTAAGACTCGAGCTACTACTCCATATTTCACGTGGTTTTCGATTCGAGCCTTATAATGATCCTGTTCTCAGCGATTTAAAAACAAAAAAGCAAGAAGAAGAAATAATAATAATAATAATAATAATAATAATAATAATAATAAGCTAAAAATTAACCACTACATAGACACAAATCAAGGTTAATTCCGTATCTACGTGGCGTAGAAACAAGCAGATCGTAATGATTGATATGAAAGGAAATGGAAACCTGTTGCTCAGAGAGTGGCTTGCACTGCATGAGCTGTGAGATCTGCTCGTCAAGATCGAGGGTGGATTCCTCCGATGGCAAGGAATTGACGCCCATGTTGCTCGCTCCTCAATTTGATTAGGGGAAAACCCTAACCCTAGATGAAGATTGATTTTCTCCGGTGAGGTCGAAGTGCAGAAAGCACAGTGAGGAGTGAGTGGACGGAAATAAGAGGAAACAGAAGATGGAGTCTAACGTAAATATAGTTGCTTTGCACGATGCTATTAATTACTAAATTTTTTTATATAATAAAAGGGAACAGATCCCTCTCCAAAAAAAAAAATTTGAAATTTTTTACAAATTACACTATGTTCTCTCCGGAAGAATACAGTGTAATCAGTGTTCTCCTAGAGGAACAGTGTAGTTTATAAAAATTGATAAACAAAAAAGTTTGTAAATATAACCTGTCCCTAATAAAATAAAGTATTTTAAAGATATATAATATTGCATTTTTTTTAAATTAATTTAGTTTTTAACATAAAATTTAAAGGGAGGTTATAGTTATTATCTCTGTTTCTTACTACCTCTTACTATTAAATCTTAACCGTTGATTTCCGTCAATCTAACGATTATAATTTATTGGGTCATACTTATTAATTAATTATTGATTTTTAATAAATTACAATCGTTAGATCGAAAGAAATCAACGGTTAAGATTTAGTAGTAAGAGGTAGTAAAAAAAAGAAGTAGTAAATATAATCTCTCTCAAATTTAATATATATATATATATATATATATATATATATATGAAAAACAAGGAAAGTGATTTAGTTTCCTCTAGACACTTCGAAATTTGTGTTTTTATATTTTATTTTATTTTAAATAAAATAATGATGGGCTCCACTGGTTTCTATCTGTGTAGCATGACGGGACTCATGTCCTTCAATATGACGATTGTTTGACCCATTAACAAGAAGAACATAGAAGGAAAAGAGAGGAAACTAAGACAAGGAGAAACACTTTTCCAAAAAAAAAAAATAAGACAAGGAGAAAGAAAGATAACTTTTCATTGTCTCTTGTACATGTGTTGATTTATAAACTCTCACCATATATTATAAGTTACAAAGGAAAAGAATTAATAATTATGAGGAGTTACAATTTGAAATAATATCTGTGAGAGTCATAGACATCCACATAATTATATTATTTATAACATTTTCTCTTGAATGTCCATTAAAATTATGTACCTCGTTAAAATCTTACTAGAAAAAAATCCTATGGGAAAAAAATCCTAGTGAAGAAAAAAAATATACATTTCTAATAATATGTTTCGCATGTTGCCTCATTAAAAATCATACCAAGAAAACCCAATGGAGCAAAACTTTGGTGAGGGGAAAGAGAGTGCAACACATATTTTACTCCCGTGATTATAATATCATTTAGTCTACAAATTATAGTCTTATAGATCAGCTTCTCAAAATTTGAATTAGGTTATGTCTGCCAAATTATCTCTTGTATAAATTTGTTGAACGCGTTTTGTTTCCACTTGTGATCGAAATCTTGTTTGGGATCTGCCTTTGTGTGGTTCAGTAAATAACTTGTATTGTTATTATTCTAGTATCTTTGTGCTGGAGAAGAGTATAATCCTGCTAATAGACTTACAAACAAGAAAGGAAAAATGTGAGAATAAAATGGGAGAGGATATGGGGTTAGAAAGTTGAACATCCACTTTATTAATATTTTCATAGCTCCCCTGGACGTTTACCCTTTATTATACGCTAATAAGATTGCCTCCTTAAAAATCTTCCCAAGAAAAATTCAATGTGATAAAAACTTGGTGAAGGAAAAGAAAGTGCAATTCTTATAACTCTCCCTCTGAATATTTATTGTGGTTATTGTAACACCCCGTGTATACTTGTTTGTTAACATGTCATCGTATTAAGCTACGCTTAATTTAAAAATGTGAAATATCTTTTTCTTTTCAATTATGACGTCATTATCCATTACCAACTTGATTACTTAATCATTTTCAAAACATCGCCTGTATGTAAAATACAATAAAACATCTAACTGAAATACCTCATAAATATATAATAAATGTGTCTCTGTCTCTAGTCACGGAACTACAACACGTAGACCGGACAACATCTTGATAGTTCATACAACTCAACTACAACATACTAACATCAATGTGGCATGGACAAATCTCATGCTCACTAAATAAGGCAACAAAGCCCAACAACATCTCAACTCAATAATCATCAAAAGTACAGTAAACATAAACAACATCCAATATCCAGTCATGTCAGCATACATCATATATCAATCAACTAAGCTCCGGCCTCCTGCCGTTAGAGGTCTTGTAACACCCCGTGTATACCCGGTTTGTTAACATGTCATCGTATTAAGCTATGCTTAATTAAAAATGCGGAATATCTTTTTCTTTTCAATTATGACGTCATTATCATTACCAAGTTGAATTACTTAATTCATTTCGAAAACATCGCCTTTATGTGAATTGCAATAAAACATATAACTGAAATACCTTATTAAAATATAAGATAAATGTGTCTCTAGTCACGAAACTACAACACGTAGACCGGACAACAGCCTGATAGTTTATACAACTCAACATCAACATACTAATATCAATGTGGCATGGACAAACCCCATGCTCACCAAATAAGGCAACAAGCCCAACAACGTCTCAACTCAATAATCATCAAAAGTACAAAAAACATAAACAGCATCAAATATCTAGTAATGTCATCATACATCATATATCACTCAACTAAGCTCCGACCTCCTGCCGCCAGAGGTCTCAACCCCTAGGTTACCTGAACCTCAAATAAGCGCTCCAAATGTGGGGTGAGATCTCTAAACAGAAATCTCAGTAAGACAAGGGGTCCTCAAGGATCTTCCACCCCAAGCTCACTTACATGTGCAATATAAGTTCTAAAAATAGATAACAATATAAGGTTGGTTGGTTCTTTGCACCAAGGACACTACTTGGAGCTCCCACCACCAAGGAAAAGGCTCCCTCCTCACCAAGTCAAGAAGTCAGCACCTCAACACAGAGAAAACAACACCTTCAACTCGAAAATGGCTGGCCCTCACCCTCACAAGACACTCCACTAAGTGTTTGCCAAGTTTAGAAGGAAGAATCAATGAGAAAGAGGTAACTTGGGAGTTTTTCATGCAAAGGAGAACAAGGAATGAAGGTGGCAGCCAAAGCACCCAAAAACTCTACGTAGCACGCAGCCAAAATGACCTAGAAATCTGTGCTTCTAGTATTTATAGCCTCATTGAGTCGAAATCGCACTGTATTAGCGTTAATAGCTACGCTTAACATTTTAAATCCCAAACTTAGGATTCTGAACCTACTCATTTTTCTAAGATTTGTCATATTTTTATTTTATTTTTCGCAGCACCTTTCCGGTACGCGCTTTCACATAACCAGTATCAGTTCTGGCACCAGTTCTCATTATTTTAACTTGAAACTTGAAATCACAATCCTATATATTATTCTAGGAATATTCATGCACTTATTATAATTTTTCGGGATACTTCATCGGTACGCATTTATACCGAGGAGCAGAATCAGTATCTGCACTTTTCGTTAGAAAAGCGACTTTCAACATTATTAATCATTTACCATAATTATTCAAGCCTTCTCATAATTATTAGGGTCAATTATGGAATTATATCATTAGTTTCATAAATATTTAATTAAATTCCTTAGTTAACGGTGCAGGTTCTTTACATTTACCCCACCTTTTTAGGATTTTGCCCTCAAAATCAGAATATAACAGTCTCGAAAATCGGGATACTGCCGGAGAAGCTCATCCTCTCGCTCCCAGGAACACTCCTCAGGAGTTCTTCCTGACCATTGCACTTTGACCATCAGAATGATCTTGTTCCTCAGCTTCTTCTCGCCTCGATCGAGAATCTTGAGTGGTCCGATGGGAGTCTTTAGGTTCTCCCGAACCTCCACATCATCCGGTTGCACCACGTGCGAAGGGTCCGCTATGTACCTCCGAAGCTGAGACACGTGAAACTCGTCGTGGATGTTGGCCAAGTTCGGAGGCAAGGCAGGCCGATAGGCAACAAGTTCTACTCTACCAAAGATTTGGTATGGCCCAATAAATCGCGGGCTCAGCTTCCTCACTCTAAGTGCCCGTCCAACACTGGTGACATGTGAAAGTCTCACAAACACGTGCCCACCCTCACTGAACTCCAGTGCACGATGCTTGACATTGTAGTAACTCTTCTAACGATTCTGCGCCTGCTTCAGCTTTTTCCTGATAATCTGGATCTGTAGGGTGGTATCTTGCACGAAGTCCAAGCCAAACAACTCACGATCCCCAACCTCAGACCAGCAGGTAGGAGTACGACACTTCCTACCATACAGTGCTTCGTAGGGTGCCATGCCAAGGCTAACATGGAAACTGTTGTTATACGAGAACTCAACCAATGGCAGGTACCTATCCCATGCTGAACCCTGCTCCAACGTGCAAGCCCTCAACATGTCCTCCAAGGTCTGGATGGTCCGCTCAGTCTGTCCATCAGTCTGAGGGTGATAGGTTGTACTCAGTCTCAACTGAGTCCCAAAAGCTCCCTGCAGTGCCTCCCAGAATCGAGATGTGAACTTCGGGTCCCTATCACTGATGATACTCTCGGGCACCCTGTGAAGCCTCACGATCTCGCAAACATACAGTTTGGCCAACTGCTCTGTAGTGAAGCTCACCTTTACCGGAAGAAAGTGGGAGACGTTGTCAATCTGTCCACAATGACCCATATCGAGTCACAGCCAACCTGAGTCTTCGGCAAACCCACCACGAAGTCCATGGAAATGCTCTCCCATTTCCATTCCGAAATCTCAAGAGGTTGAAGCTTACCATACGGCCTCTGGTGTTCTATCTTCACCTTCTGGAAAATCAAACACTTGGACACATAAACATCAATGTCCTTCTTCATGCCCGGCCACCAGAAATTTCTCTTCAGGTCTTGATACATCTTTGTCGCACCAGGGTGGACAATAGGGGTGTTCGCGGTCTGGATTGGATCGGTTTTGGAAGCAAAAATCATCCGATCCAATTCCTTCGGTTTGATTATATAATCATCCATTCAGTTTCGATTTTTTTCAAATCTGATCCGATCCAATTTTTTTCGGTTTGGATTGGATCGCATTTTGGTTTTTTGAAAATCCTAAAAAAAATTATATATATTAGCTTTGTAAATTTATTTTTTTTGAAATACAAAAGCATTAGTAAACTATAATATAGTTTTCTTTTTTTGGCAATGAGATATGAAGCTCTACAAAGATAAAATTTTGTTGATGAGATGTGACTAGATTTTTTCTTGGGTTTAGTTGATGGGTTAATGAGTTTTGGATTTAGAAATTTTTGGGCTATGATTGGGGAATGACCCAAGTAGGTAGAGGGAAATTAATATATTGGATCGGTTTTCATCAACCCATCCAAAAACCGATCCAATCCAATTAAAAATTGCGGTTTTTGTGCGGTTTTCTATTTTTCGATTTTCGGTTTATTCGGTTATCGGTTTTTCGGTTCAGTCACCGCAGTTTGAATCGGTTTAGATCGGTTGATGAACACACCTAGTGGACAGTAAATTGGCCTTTATGGGCCTCTTCCATAACCTATTCGGTCAAAGGACCTCGAGGAATCACGATCCTCTTTTGGTACATCAACAGTCCATCCTCATTCCAAGACACACCGTCTTGGTTCCTCACATAGTCTAGGCACTCTTTTTGCACCTGTGCCTCTTTAATCTTTTCTATAAGCTCATTAATAACCTCTGTTGTTTCCATCTCGAGAAGTGCACCCCAAATAGAGAGGTCACTGTCAGATCTCGAAACTTCTCAATGACATCAAAATTACCCATCATCAAACTGGATAGACTCACTGATTTTCGACTCAAAGCATCAGCTACCACATTGGCCTTGCCAGGATGGTACTTCAACTCGAAGTCGTTGTCCTTCAGAAACTCCATCCATCTCCTTTGCCTCATGTATAGCTCCTTCTGATCAAACAAGTACTTTAAACTCTTATGGTCACTAAACACAGCAAACTGCATGCCAAACAGATAATGCCTCCAAATCTTGAAAGCAAACACAATCGCAGCCAACTCCAAATCATGAGTCGGGTAGTTCTCCTCATGAGGTTTCAACTGCCTTGAAGCATAGGCAACAACTCTACCAGTCTGCATCAAAACACAACCCAGCCCCTTTCCAAAGGCATCACAGTAAAGCTCAAACTGCTCCTCAAGATCGGGAAGGATCAACACAGGTGAAGTATTCAATCTCTCCTTCAACTCTTGAAAGCACTCCTCACACTCGTGAGTTCACACAAATGGAGTCTCCTTCCGGGTAAGGCGAGTCAATGGAAGAACCATCATCGAGAATCCCTTGATGAACCTCAGGTAGTAACCTGCCAAACCCGAGAAACTCCTCACTTCAGTAACCGTCTTGGGCCTCTCCCAATCTAGCACGTCCTCAATCTTGTTAGGATCCACTGCAACTCCTTTTGCAAAAATAACATGCCCAAGGAACTTAACTGACTTGAGCTAGAACTCGTATTTCAAAGGCTTAGCATAAAGCTTTTTCTTCTTCAGCACTTGCGAAACAATCCTCAGGTGCTCCGCATGCTCCTTCTCCGTCTTGGAGTAAATCAAAATGTCGTCAATGAAGACGATCACAAACTGATCCAGGTACGGCTGGAAAATCCTGTTCATGTAATCCATAAATACTGCGGGCGCATTAGTGAGTCGAAACAGAATCACCAGATACTCAAAATGACCATATCTCAAACGAAACGCGGTCTTAGGGACATCCTCCGGCTTCACCCGAATCTGATGGTATCCGGACTGGAGATCAATCTTCGAATAAACGCAAGCACCCCTGAGTTGATCCAACAGATCATCAATACGAGGAACGAGATACTTGTTCTTGATCGTCACCTTGTTCAACTACCTATAGTCAGTGCACAATCGCATAGTCCCATCTTTGTTCTTCACAAAGATGACCGGTGCTCCCCAAGGAGACACACTCGGTCGAATGAAGTCTTTCGCTGAAAGATCCTCAATATGCTTTTTTAGCTCCGCCAACTCCGGTGGCGACATCCGATATGGAGCTAATGAAATATGCCTCACACCAGGCAACAAGTCAATGGAGAACTCGATCTCCCACTGTGGCAAAAACTCAGGAATCTCCTCAAGAAACACCTCGAGGAATTCCTCCACCACAGGAATACCAGTGATATCCTCCTATGTCCCATTCACCAAACCTCCCAACATAACATAACCGAATGCCCCTGCTCTTAAGGATCTTGTAGCCTGCAGCAATGAAATATATGGCGAGGAACTGGCTATGGAATCACACGGAGACATCACCACAAGCTTGGCACAACAATCAATTATAACACAGTTCTTGGACAACCAATCCATGCCAAGGATGATCTCCAAATTAGCCATCGGCAATCCTATCAGATCTACCGAGAAGTCAAGGCCATCCCACTGAAACACGACATCTCAATGTACAGTTAAGGTATCACACTTTTCTCCAGTGGCGGTAGTCACTCGCAACGGTGGAGAAAGCATAGCACTGGGCAACTCAAGCCCCACAACAATCGGGGTTGCAATAAAAGAATGCTTAGCCCCGGAATCAAACAAAGCATCAACAGAAATTCCACCAATGGAAACAGTACCTCTAACAAGGTTCGGAGCCCGGTTCGACTGCTGACGGTCCAAGGAATACACACGACCGGTAGCAGGTGGCACTGTAGGTGCCGCTATAGGTGGAAGGGGAACCATCTGAAGTGGAATAGCCTAAATCGCTGCAGCTCTCGCCGTCGACGACGGACAATCTATGGAAAAGTGGCACTCCTTGCCACACTGGAAACATATAAGTTGGCTGATAGCACACGGCCCCACATGAAGTTTCCCACATCCTGAGCATCTGGGAGCAGGAGGTCTCGCTGTACTCCCCTGAGTGGAATTCCTCTTAAACTGATTTGGCGCTTGCCTAGCCGCCAACTGCTTTCCTTTACCTTTCGGACCAAACTTCCTATCCCTCCAGGAAGTGGAACTACCTATTCCCTTCACATCAGCAATCTTAGCCCTCTTGGCCTTACTCACAACGCATACCTCCTCAATGTCCCGACACTGCTGAATCAAAGTGTTGAAATCTCCGGATGCAGCTCCAGCAATGCGAGCATCAATCTCCCTATTAAGTCCCCTGCGAAACTCCAAAAACATTGGAGTAGGCATGGCGATACGAAAATGTGCAAACTTAGCCAATTCATTGAACTTTGCCAAATACTCGTCCACAGACAACGAGCCTTGCACCAGGTGGTCAAACTCCCCCTGCTTCCTCTTTTGAGCATCATAAGGGAAATACCTCCCAAGAAAACAATCCTCGAATAATGGCCATGTCATCACATGACACTGTATCTCAAAAGCTTGAGAGGTGTTCGTCCACCACTCATGGGCATCGCCCTCCAGCATATACGCCGCAAACATCAATTTTTTGCGGGTCGGTGCACTGCATCACTCAGAAGATCTTATCCATAGCCTGAAGCCATCTTGCAGCAGCAATAGGATCATAAGACCCATCAAAAGAAGGTGGCTTATGCTTGCAGAAAGCATTAAGCCGGCGATCAATCACGTCACGGTCCTCAACAGGCTCAAGATAGGGTTCCATCACCTCAGTAAGGTGAGTTGCACTATCAATATAACTCTGACTTTCGTCCTGAAGACTAGGTGGAGGTGGTGGCGGAGGATACTGGCCAACAGCAGGACCAGCCCTCATCTCCTCCAGCATGACCCTCATCATGGTCATGTTCGCCAGCCGGTTCGCCTCAAGGACATCTTCTGTGGCCTTCCGGTTCGCCTCTCGAACGACGTCCATCATTGCCACGTTGGCCAATCTAGTGGTCTCTTGATCGGCTAGTCTAGCTGCTTGCATCTCAGCTAATGCAGTCAGGACCAGGTCAGGTTGACCCTCAGCAGTCTCGCGGGTTCTCCTTCGTATTACCATGACTCTGCACAAGTTACACACAGTATGAGTTGATCAGGCCCACGCAATGTGGTCACATATGCATCATCATAGCAAAATCGAATAGAGCAAACACACAAGACAAGACACAACAAAACATCCTAAGTTATTGCAATACATACAGGCCTTTTTCCAAGAAAGTGCTTTGATACCATAAAATATAACACCCCGTGTATACCCGGTTTGTTAACATGTCATCGTATTAAGCTACGCTTAATTTAAAAATGCGGAATATCTTTTTCTTTTCAATTATGACGTCAGTATCCATTACCAACTTGATTACTTAATCATTTTCAAAACATAGCCTGTATGTAAAATGCAATAAAACATCTAACTAAAATACCTCATAAATATATAATAAATATGTCTCGAGTCACGGAACTACAACACGTAGACCAGACAATATCTTGAAAGTTCATACAACTCAACTACAACATACTAACATCAATGTGGCATGGACAAACCCCATGCTCACCAAATAAGGCAACAAAGCCCAACAGCGTCTCAACTCAATAATCATCAAAAGTAAAGTAAACATAAATAGCATCCAGTATCCAGTCATGTCAACATACAGCATATATCAATCAACTAAGCTCCGACCTCCTGCCGTTAGAGATCTCAACCCCTGGATTAGCTGAACCTGAAATAAGCGCCCCAAACGTGGGGTGAGATTTCTAAACAGAAATCTCAGTAAGACAAGGGGTCCTCAAGGATCTTCCACCCCAAGCTCACTTACACGTGCAATATAAGTTCCAAAAGCAGTTTAATAGTATAAGTTCCAAATCAGTGCAATGCAGCAGATAATCATGTCATGTGTGTTATAACTAATCTACTGCCAGAAAAATGCAGGAATACGTCTATTACCTACACAGTACGCGCCCATACCGTACCTGCCTACATGATCACATCTCGTCTAGGCGAACACCACATACATATCATAGGCATTTGCACTTAACAGCTCAACAACATTTCAATAAATAGATACATGAAAACACATCATGCATATAAACCATCCCTCCTAGGACATGATGGAACTAACAATGGTTAAACCGAGGACATGAAAGCTTACCTTGCAAGCTAACTATCCAAGCCAAAAGTTCAACCAAGCTCAAAGTCCACAAACAGCACAATCACAATCTGTTTGGACCAATAATCATATCAATATTCAAACACAACAAGTATATGACATAAAGACAATGTCTTCCTCTTACATTTCATGTCTTTAGGCTTCTCACAAAGCCATAAGCCCTTAATCCCTTAGGTTCTGACTTAGATTACTCATTACAGAAGTTCAACTTAATCAATTTAGGGTCCACAAACCCTAAACACAGTTCTGTATGAACATTACAAACACTGTCTCGAAATTTCCAGAATATCCGGATATATGTCGGGGCCATATCCGGATATCCCATATATTCGGATATGCATATTTGGATATCATATCCGGATATCCATATTGGATATCACGAGACCCCATATCCGGATATCATATCCGGATATTTCGCGACAGAATGCAGTTTCTGCATTTCGCGAGATATCACACCAAAGGTTCGATTTTTAATCCATTAAAACGTCCAAGCATGCATTTTTACTTTCTTTTAAGTTCAAATACAGGTTGGTTACTTGTTTAACTCATTAACATGCCAAGACTCAACCTTTAAGCAATTAAAACTCATGATCAAAGGTTCAACAACTTACCCAAAGCTTAAAACAGCAAAGAATGATGCTCTTGGAGCTCTCAAGTCAGCTCCAAGGTTCTGTCTCACAAGGTACACGAATAAGGTGATCAAAGGTTGGTTCTTTGCACCAAAGATCACTCATTGGAGCTCCCACAACTAAGGAAATGGCTAACACTCTCACAACCAAGGTGGACAACAGCTAAACACCACCAAACAAGGCTACCACTCAGCCAAGAGCAACCCACAACCTCACAAGACTCACTCACACCAAGCTATAATGTTTTGGTGAAGAGGAAAGAAAGAAAGGTGCTCACTTGGTTCACCTAAAATGGAGAGGAGAAGGTGGCAAGGTTGCTGCACACAAAACTCAGAAAATTCCACGTAGAAGAGAGGGTGGCTGACTGTTGGGTGGTTTGCTGATGGTGGAAAAATATAAGTTCTGATGGAGGACGTTCCTCTGTTCTATATTAGCAAAAGAAAATAGATTTGTTCCCCTAATTCCAACCCAAGTGTGCAAGTGCATGCATCAAGTAATAATGGGTGTATTAAGGCCCAGATTATCGTTCCCACGAGGATAGAACTCTAAATTATGTCTTAAACTATTTTATAAAGAATGAAAATGATAAGAAAAGTTAGTGATTTAACTGTCTGGTCAAACGTTCCCTACTGTCTTGACAACGTTCTCAGGAACAATAAGTTCTGTCTGATGGCAAACAATTGCTTGCTGCGTTATACATGTGATCCTTCCTGTTTAAAAGAAGGTGTGATAATAATCATTGGAGATTAGTAGATACAAGATTGAATAAAGTAAAAATAACAAAACAATAATAACTATAATCAAGAGACAACAAGGTGGATGGTTTTTAAAAACAGTTTATCAGAAGGAACAGATTCACTGCTCCATTCTTAAATAGTTATTTTCTCAGCTCAAAACTTAGCACTTTTTGGCTTTGTCCCAGTTTCTTAACTGCCAACTCTGATTCCTCAGCTCATGGACTAGATGACTCACAAGTTTTCATATTCCTATGGCTCCTTCGACTCCAACAGGTACTTAGTACAGAACCTTTTTCTTTAGAGAATGTCCTGGCAGAACCTTCTCTAACAGGTACTACCACACCTTCTTCTTCTGCCAAAGCCTTGGCAAAAGCTTCGTCCCCAGAAGTGTCAAGACGGTTGAGAGGATAAGAAAGAAGGCCTCCCAGATTAATTTGCCTGGGGCCTGATGGCTTTTTCTTTTTCTTAGGGGATTCCAAAAGAATCCCCTTTCCTCTGTCATTTTTCTTTTGTGGCTGAGATTCTTGCTCATCCACTGGTGTTTCTGCAGCAGGTGCTGCTTCTTTTTCTGTTCTCCCATCTCCCTGTTGTTTCCTGGAAGAGGGTTGTGGGATAGATGGTGAAGAGTGAGGAGGTGGTGATGGTGGGGGTGGAACGTCAGAGAATGTAGTGTCTGAACTGCTTGGGGACGTCTCCTTAGCAGCTGGTTTAGATGCTGACGTTCTCCCAGCCTTTAGCCTTTTTGCTAAAGGCTCATTGTCATCACTCTCTTCCTCTTTATCAGAGAGGGTGATGGGCTTTTCAGAGGATGCTCCCTCTGGCCTTTTGCTATTGAAGACTCTCTTCAGCCTTTGACTGGAACGTTCCCCCTTTCTTGGGAGAGCTTTGGCAGGGGATTTCTTCTTGCCCTGTTTGCCTTTAGTAGCAACAGGGGTATCCTTGGTGGGAGGGGGAACAGTTCTTCTTGCTGGTATGTGGGCAGAAGTGGTGGATTTTGAAGGAGTGGTTTTGGAGGTTTTCTTCTGAGGGGCCACAGGGACTTCCTCATCATCATCACTGGTGGCAATGCGTCTGAGGTCTTCAGGAATTGGCTGAGTGGTATCAATGTAAGTGCTCCTTAGATTGCTCCAGGTCTTGCCATTAATGACAGATGCCACCCTTGTTTTGTCGTCCTTGTGGGCCTCTACACCAGCTCTCAAATAAAGCTTTGTAATTAGGCAGGGGAGGCAGACAGTGGTCCTTCTCATCTCCCTCTTCAAGCTGCCATAAATGAGGGATACTACATCAAAATGAGTGTTCTTCATGATGCAGTAGATTTGAACTTGGAGTTCCCACTTGGCAATGGTCTCATGGGTGGATGAAGTGAGGTTGGAATTGGCAAATAATGCCCAAAGTCTGGCTTCGTCCCTCATGCTTCCCTTGCAGAGGGCACCTTTGGTGTAGGTGGGGTTTTTTATGGCTATTGTTTCCAGCAGGTCCCCCATAAATGTGGAGACTTCTTTGCTGTCTATATACTCTTGATATGGACAGTTGGGAATGGTGGGCAAGTAGAGTACCTCCTTGATAGCAGTGAGGGAGAATGACACTTGCTTTCCCCTCACTATGACCACATCAGTGGAGTCATCTAGAGGCAGCCTCCTTGTCTGGTAGAGAAACTCTCTCACCATGGAGACATTCATCTCTCTTTCATCAGTGGCAAAACGAAGCCACTGGAGCCTGATCAAGGCTTTCCTTACGAATGGAGGTAGAACAATTTTGTCCTCCTGCAGGGATATATTTCTTTCTGGGTACAGATGGATGGTGGGTTCAGTGAGCTCAGGTTCCTGTCCACGGCTGGCCACATGAGTCACTGTTACTGAGAGTTTGGTCATCTTTAGCAGAAAGGAGGTTAGGGTACAATGCAGAAGGAGGACAAAAGAATCTGAGTTAAATGGAAGTAGTAAAACTTGAAGGAAGGAAGAGATGAGTTTAAATAGACAATGGAGGAGAGAAAATGGAGAGTCTTTTGGGACGTGGAGGTTAAGGAAAAGAGGTGGAGTGGGTAGTGGAATGGGGACGTTACAGAACGAGTGGGCAGAAGTTAATGGTTTGTAACTGATGATGATGAGTGTGAGAAGATGGAACGGTTTAGGTCAGAATACGTGGGAGAGAGGGAAAAGAAGTTTCGTTGTCTTAATGGGGGAGGAGACAGTTGCTTTTTCAGTGCATGTTTTCAAGATTTGCAATAAGTGCAAATTTGATATGGCTACGTACCTTGTGAGTGACTCAGCAGGGACAGGTGTCCCAGTCACTTTTATCTCTTAACCCAGGGAACGTTCCCTTTGTCTTTTCTTAAATAAATAATAAAAATGCAATCGAGATGCTAATTACTTGAATATAAATCTATCCTAATAATGAGAAAAGAGAACGTAAAGCATAACTACTTACTTATTTACTACTATTTATAACAATTTTGAAATATATATAAGAAATTTTAATTTTTTTTAACTTCGGATTGTGTGGTTAGTGAACCACCCCAAAACTACGTTCCTAGAACGGAACGTACCTTATTTGGACATTGGAGTGGAACATCAGACGTTCCCTCCTTTTGGGAGCTGTATGGTTAAGAGTAACCACCCCAAAACTTTGCTCTTTGTCAAAGGGCAAAGGTATCCACTGGGTTGCCTCCCAGTCAGCGCTTAGTTTAATGTCTTTAGCTAGACATGATACTTACCTTTCAGTTAGATTCAGAAGTGGCTGAGGGAACTTCAGTGTCCCCTGGTAGTGATCCTGGTGTTCTGGTTTTGAGACTGGCAGCAATCTGTCCGAGATGAGGCTCAATGTTCCTGACCACTGCATCATTCCTGGTGACATATTCCTTGACATAGTTTTCCAGGGTGTTGATGCGTTGGTCATCTCTGTGGAACGGAACATAATTGTTTCTCCTTTGTTGTTCAAACGTTCCACTGTTGCTGCCTTGCTGGCACTGCTGCTGAGTGTTGAATGGTCTGTGGTTCATGGGTGGCCTCCATTGGGGATTATGGTTCTGATCTTTGGTGATAGTTCCTCCAGGATTTGAATTGGTGTTGCGTCCTGCTTGTTGATTGTCTCTAGTGAAGTTCCTGTTGCCAAAGTTTTCTGCATAACACACCAATGCAGTAGATGGGCATTCTGTTGAGTCATGCAGGTCACCACAGGCTGAACATGG